TTGTAATATATTTAATATATTTAATAAGATATTTACCGTTGCCATCCATTCTCCATTTGATGAGAATGCTACATGACAGACGTGATGATATATAATTTCTTTTTCAAATGAACTAGATACTAAATTTCGTAACAAAACCTCTACTTCCATTACATGTCTATCTGTATAAGCATTATAAAATTGGATGGTGCCGGGAATTCCAATTAAGAACTATATAATGATTTCGCGGTTCAACCACGAGACTGGTGGATAAAGGATTTGTTTTCGTACTTGATTGCGCTATCATAATATTTCATAACATTCATAGCATTCATAATAGAATTAAATAAATAATTACTAAAATGTAATTACTAATATCTAATTACTAATATTTAATTAATCTATCAAATACACATATATATATAAAAAACACAACACACACCATATTTTAATCCTTATATTGATTGTCTAGTTTCAAGATTTATTACGGAATATATTTTAATTGAATTATCCAAAAAACCCACAGCGTATAAGGTTTGATCAGGACTTATCGAAATGGTACAAATTTCGGATCCAAGACGCGGAAGGAATGACATATTTTTTGTTTCAAAATGTCATATTACAAGAACCGCTTCTTCCCCTCCAGAAAGAAGATACGTATCTATATATATATATTATATATTTATATACATTGTTTATGTGATATTTAACGAAAATGTTAATTCAAGAAAAAAAATAATTAGAAAAGAATATAAAAAAATAGGTATAAATATATTTTATATTATCATCACTCGTAAATTTGATATAATTTACTTTATGAGCGTGCCAATGAACAGATGAGGTAACGGGATTTTCAATCTGTAATTCGTTAAGACAATACCTAAATAATAATAATAACACAATAATAAATATTGATGATGATGATGATTCTGATGTTGTTTTTTTGTTGACACGAAAACATTTCTGTTATCATTTACCAATAAGTAATTCTTCCTTTATAATCTCCAATAGCTATACATGACTTCGTGGGATAAATTGCAATGCAACTGATTCTTGATCCGTGCTTGTATCTAAATAATTTAAATTTTTTTTTTTAGTGAACCATTTCTTCAGCAGACATTTTAATAATAATTATAATAATAATTTACTTGAGCCATTTCAATCTGTCTGAAATTTGAATTGATTTCAACTTGATCACCTGAATTGTTTGAATAAAAGTAATAACTAAGTATTCATAATAATTACTAACTTCTGAATCAGTCTTGCATTTCTAAGTGAAAAAAAAAAATTTTTAATTTAGTAACTTATTTAATAATTTCTTTAATATATTAGAAGTAACAGATATATTACTGACCTTTTTCTTGATTTTTTGATTTCCCGTTACCGCGGAAAATTGATTAAGACAAGAAATTAGAACTATCATTTTATAAATTGCAACACCTAAATCATATACCTAAAGTTATTTAAGATATTTTAAGATTTTTAATGTAAAGACAATAGCTAGCAAAAGAAAAAAAAATTTTTTTAAATACAAATTTACCTCCAATAAATTCGAATTAATGTAAATTCATTTTCTAACCATACCCAGAATATAACCAACAATTTTTAAAATTCCAATTCCAATTATTAAATTTTATTTTTTGAATTTTTATATTTGTGAAGAATTATTAGGATCCATCATAATGCAAGTAATCTCATCTTGTGACCTTTCCTTTCTGTAGCATCCGTCAATACGCTATTAACGGTTTTTGAACAAGCACAGAAAAAATATCTAAAAAAAGAAATTTAATAATAATAAAATAATTAATCAATCAATCAATATACATAAAAGAAAAAAAAAATCAAATACACTACAAATAATTTATCTAAATAAATAATAATTAAATGATTTAGATAGATAATTTGAATTTTTGATTTAAAATAAAAGACTAATAAATAAATATTAATAATCAAAAAATTTCAAATTAATACCAAAAAGGTACCACTTTGAATCGGTTGAAAAAAACTCTCCCAACATTGAATAATTACAATTTCTCAAGTATTTACTGATTTATAACATTACTATTGTAAGAGCAAAATTTTATTGTGAACCAGAGTTGTTGCCGAAATTCAAAAAAGGAAAAGTCAACAATGGCATAGCATTTATTAGCTTTTATTGTAATATTTCCTTTTTTGGGATGGTACATTCACGTATATTTCACGTGATTAACGAGATCGTTGACGTCGAATTGTTTTTTAAAAAAAAAGATATTTTATTTAATATATCAATTTTTTAATATCATAATGTATGTTTATATATCTTTTCAATCCGAAAATAAAGTTGGTGATTTATTTATTACTCCTGACATCAATAAATTTTACTTTATTAAATTTTTTATTTATTTATTCTATTACATTTCTTCCCCGTCCTTACACTATTCTATTTAAAATTACACATCTTCCTTTGTATTTACACTATTTATTATGGGTTCTAAATGAGACTTTAATTCATTAATAAGTTTACCCGTTTGCTCATCATTGCCTTCTCTTCAACTTTCCAATATGCATCACGCATTTTTTCCATAAGCTCGTTTATAGTCAACCGTCGATTTAAGCTGCTCTCTAAGACCTGGTTTGCTCTGATACATCTACTTCAATTAATTCATTATGATATATGCATCGAAGTCATTTTCTTCAAACATCCATTGGAAATTTCTCCACAAATTGGCGTCAATAATTTGTAGCATCATATGTGCTTGTGAAAAAATATGCAATTACAATGTAATGATGTTAACTTGGGAGCAACTTTGCCTTTCTCAATTCTGTTTTCAACAGCACAAGCTTCGTCGGCAAGCATTCGTTGAACAAGATAGGGGAATTTATGAAATTCTTTAAGAATTTCATCATCCAAGCCCATGACTGAAATTTTTTTAGTACGGAATTCAAAAGCAACATATTCTGAATCCGTACAGCGCAACTACTTTACTGGATAAAAATAATTATTAATTATTAAAAAATATATAAAATGTGCTCACGAAAAATCAAGCCGATAATATAATCCCACATAGCACTCGCGAAAGTAGATGAAACCCGAAAAAAAAAAATTGAAAATATTATCACCATTAAATATATTTATCAATTAATAATAAAGATGAAATTTCATTATTGTTAATTCCAGCGAACCAACCAAAACTGCTAACATCAATAATACCAATAACAATACCAACACCATAAACACAATTAACAATTAGAATTATAATCAAATATTATTATCATCAAATTCATAGTATTCAATTATTTAGTTAGAAATGTAATGCAAAAATATAAAGGTATAATAATTGACAAAAAAATAATTTATTTTGATGAAAAAAATTCTAATTATATTTTTATTTTAGAATCGTTAGACAACAGTAATAATGAGATCATTAATGATATGATGATATTTTTGATAGCAGGTAAGAATATATAGAATATATTAGAAAAAGATTATTTTAAAGATAGGAGGATATTGCACTTACTATAATGAATGACAATTTTGTTTATAAAAAATTTATAGCTAAATTTAATTACTTAATTTAGTTAGAATTCATCACAAGTATATAAAAAAGTAAGATTATAAAAATCAAATTTCTGTGCTTGTCATGCATAAAATAAAAACAATAATTTTAATTGATTACATACTGGTCAGCGTTTAATTTAAATAAAAAGCTATGCCCTATAATTCCAGTGACCAAATAAATAAATATATAAAATAAAATAAGATAATAATAATAATAAATATTAAAGCAAAATCAAGATTAAAACAAAAAAGAAAATAAATTAATGATTAATTCTCGGAATTTCATCTTCTTCAACTATGAAATTTAAATATTGTTAATTATGTTTTAAATTAAGCATACTAAACAAATAATTCAAGAAATACAATGCTTACTTATATCTTCAGGTATTTCAAGATTCCACTGTTTTGTATCTAAATAATAATTTATGTATTCAACTTTTTTTGGTTTCAGAAAAGGCAAATGTCTGCTTGTGTATATTGCCCGAGGGTGTGCTTTTTTTGGATCATATTGAATGAAATTCTTATTTAACTTATTATTCTCATTAGCTTTTTCAATCTGTCTTTTGATCTCACTATTATAATCATAATCAGAATATTTCATAAGTTGAGATTCCAAGTCTATAGCTTTTGGATGATTGGAAGGTTCAGTATCCCAACATTTTTCCATTAAATCTTTGAACAGTTGTGGAATCTCGCACATAATTTCAGGTTTATGATCATCACAAATTGAAATTACAAGTTTTTCATCATGTGGTACATTATAATAAGGTGGATAACTAATAAAAATTTCGTACATAATCATACCAAATGAGTAAATGTCAGATGCTTGAGTATATTCTCTTCTATTCAATGTCTCAGGTGCCATATATGGAATTACTCCATAAATTTTTTCTTTATCACATTATGAAACTGTCTTACACAACCCAAAATCAGTGATATAGAACAAATTTTAGTTTCATTAACTATATTACCAGAGTGAAAATCTTTATGCATTAAGCCAATTTCATGAATTCTAGCAAGTCCTAAAGCTGTGTAATATAAATTCTTAATTTTATTATTCCAAGTTAATTTTTTAAAGTTACTATTCAACATTTTTCGTAGACTACCATATTTTGCATATTGCATAACCATCGTATATTCATTTTCTGCTGGATTTTTAGTTATTCCATATATTACAATTGCCCATACACCTTGAAATATGAGTTGATTTTTTATCTAAAATATTATAAGTTCAGTATTAGTAAAATAATTATTGTTTATTCAATTAATATATAAAATTTACCTCTTGTAAAAATTCACCCTTACTTGTAGAAGTATTAAGACTTTTTAAGCAAAACAACATCTCTGGGTGAGCAAGATTTTCTTTTGAGAATTCCAAGATATAATAAATCCATCAGACCATGTTGCCTTGAAAACTTTGCCAAAACCTCCTTTAGCAAGATATTCAATATTATTAAATTTATCATATGGAATCCATTCAATAACTTCTTCATGTTTAATTGCCTTAAGTTGAGTTTGTTGAATAAATTTATCAATTTCTGTATCTTCACTTGTCCATTTATTAAATTCGCTTTGAAATCTTATGATATTACATGTATTGCACAATTCATCTCCAGTATTATCTTGATGACAGTCTTTGCATTTTCCTTATTTCTTGTCATCACTAAAATGTATTATTTAAAATAAGCCAATATAAAAACTCTATAATGAAATAGTTAAGAATATAAATATTTACCTCCTACATTTGCAGTGGATTGGAAAGTATTAATTGAAAATAAATTAATTTAAAAACTTTAATTTCATTAATTATGAATCTAAATACTCACCTTTAATATAATTGATAATTAACAAGATTAATTAATATTTAATTCTTAATAATCATGAATTTAAATAATACTCACTTCCTGTAATAATATATATTTGAAGATGTTAGATTAGCTTAAATTTTGATCTAAATAATTATGAATTTAAATAATACTCAGCCCTGTAATAAGATATATTTGATTATACAATAATTAATTAAAGATGTTAGATTAGGTTGAAACTTTGATTCAAAAAATTATGAGTTTAAATAATACACACTCCTTGAAATATGCATTTGATTGTGTGATAATTAATTAAAGTATTATTAGATGTTAGATTAGCATCTTAATAATTATGAACTTAAATAACGCTCACATCCTTTGATTCAATTGCATGATAATTAATTAATATTAGATTAGCTTGAAACTTTAATCTAAATAATTATGAATTAAAATAATACTAACACCCTGCAATAAGATATGTATTTGATTATGTGATAAATAATTAAAGAAGTATTATTAAATGTTAGATTTGCTTGAAACTTTGATCTAAATAGTTATGAATTTAAATAATACTCACCTCCTGTGATTCAATTGCATGATAATTAATTATTAGATGTTAGATTAGCTTGAAACTTTGATTGAAATAATTTTATGAATTTAAATAATACTCACCTCCTGTGATTCAATTGCATAGTAATTAATTATTAAATGTTAGATTAGCCTGAAGCTTTGATCTAAATAATTATGAATTTAAATAGAACTCACATCCTGTGGTCAATTGCATGATAATTAATTAAAGTATTAATAGATATTAGATTAGCTTGAAATTTTAATCGAAAAAATTATGAATTTAAATAATACTCACCTCCTGTGATTCAATTGTATGACAATTAATTAAAGTATTATATTATTAGATATTAGATTAGGTTGAAACTTTGGTCTAAATAATTATGAATTTAAATAATACTCACGCCCTGTAATAAGATATGTATTTGATTATGTGATAATTAATAAAATATTATTAGATATTAGATCAGGTTGAAACTTTGATCTAAATAATTATGAATTTAAGTAATTCTCACCCCTGAGATTCAATAGCATGATAATTAATTAAAGAATTATTATTAGATGTTGATTAGATTGAAACTTTGATTGAATTTAAATATTACTCACTCGCTGTAATAAGATATATATTTGATTATATGATAATTAATTAAGTATTATTGGATATTAGATTAGGTTGAAACTTTGATCCAAGTAATTATGAATTTAAATAATACTCACCTCCTGTGATTCAATAACATAATAATTAATTAAAGAAGTATTATTAAATGTTAGATTAGCTTGAAACTTTGATCTAAATAATTACATATTTAAATAATACTCACTTCCTGTAATAAGATCTGTATTTGATTATGTGATAATTAATTAAAGAAGTATTATTAAATGTTAGATTAGCTTGAAACTTTGATCTAAATAATTACGTATTTAAATAATACTCACAAACTGTAATAAGATATGTATTTGATTATATGATAATTAATTAAAGAAGTATTATTGGATATTAAATTAGCTATGAATTCACCTCCTGTTGATTCAATTATATGGTAATTAATTAAAGAAATATTATTAGATGTTAGATTAGGTTGAAACTTTTGATCTAAATGATTATGAATTTAAATAATACTCACTCTCTGTAATAAGATATGTATTTGATTAAAGTATTATCAAATGTTAGATTAGTTTAAAACTTTGACTTAAACAATTACTAATTCAAATAATACTCACTCCCTGTAATAATATATGTATTTTATTATACAATAATTAATTAAATTGTTATTAGATGTTAGATTGGCTTGAAAATTTGATTTAAATAATTATGAATTTAAATATTACTCACTCCCTGTAATAAGATATGTATTTGATTGTATGATAATTATAATTTATTAAAGAAGTATTATTAAATATTAGATTAGATTGAAAATTTGATCTAAATAATTATGAATTTAAATAATACTCACCTCCTGAGATTCAATAGTATGATAATTAATTAAAGTAATATTAGATGCTAGGTTAGCTTGAAACTTTGTCTAAATAATTATGAATTTAAATAATACTCACCTCCTGTTATTAAATTGTATGATAATTAATTAAAGAAGTATTATTAAATGTTAGATTAGCTTGAAACTTTGATTTAAATATTACTCAAGCTCTGTAATATGTATTTTGATTATGTGATAATTAATTAAAGTGTTATTAGATGTTAGATTAGCTTGAAATTTGATCTAAAATAATTATGAATTTAAATAATACTCACTTCCTGTGATTCAATTGTAGGATAATTAATTAAAGAAGTATTATTAAATGTTAGATTAACTTGAAACTTTGATTTAAATAATTATGAATTTAAATATACTCACGCTCTGTAATATGTATTTGATTACGTGTTAATTAATTTAAAGTATTATTAAATGTTAGATTAGGTTGAAACTTAGATCTAAATAATTATGAATTTAAATAATACTCACTCCCTGTAGTAAGATATTTATTTGATTATGTGATAATTAATTAAAGTATTATTAGAAATTAGATTTGCTTGAAAACTTTGATCGAAATAATTATGAATTTAAATAATACTCACGCTCTGTAATAAAATAAGTATTTGATTATGTAATAATCAAATTAAAGAAGTATTATTAAATTCTAGATTAGCTTGAAAACTTTGATCGAAATAATTATGAATTTAAATAATACTCACAAACTGTGATCAATTGCATGATAGTTAATTAAAGAAGTATTACTAGATGTTAGATTAGGTTTAAACTTTGATCTAAATAATTATGAATTTAAATAATACTCACTACCTGTAATAAGATATGTATTTGATTATGTGATAATGAATTAAAGTATTATTAGATGTTAGATTTGCATGAAACTTTGATCGAAAGAATTATGAATTTAAATAATACTCACTTCCTCTAATAAGATATGTATTTGATTATGTGATAATTTATTAAAGTATTATTAGAAGTTATATTAAGTTGAAACTTTGATCGAAATCTTTATGAATTTAAATAATATTCACCAACTGTAATAAGATATGTGATAATTATTAAAGTATTATTAGATGTTAGATTAGGTTGAAACTTTGATCAAAATAATTATGAATTTCAATAATACCCACTAACTGTAATAAGATATGTATTTGATTATGTGATAATTATGTATTATTATTAGATATTAGATTAGGTTGAAACTTTGATCGAAAGAATTATGAATTTAAGTAATACTCACTTCCTGTAATGTGATAATTAATTAAAGCGTGATTATGTGTCAATTAATTAAAGTGTCAATTAAATAAAGAAGTATCATTAGATGTATTAGATGTTAGATAGCTTGAAACTTTGATCTTAATTATCATGAATCCGAATACTCACGACCTGTGGGCATAATTAAAAAAATAGTCAATTAGTGGATTGGTTTGAAAGTTTTGATTTCAATAATTATTGAATCTAATACTCACATATTGTAATATAATGTATAATTGATCTTAAATAATGTTAGTTGGACCCTTTAATATGAATTTTTAAATTTTATCAATATTAGTTATATTACAATGAGAGAAAATTTTTCACAAAAAAATCGTGATTTCAGTCGCATTACATTTAACCTCCCGTGATTGAAAATAATAGTTATTATTATTAGATGTCAAACTTAAGCACTGATTCAAGTGCAGAATTCGGAAAACGAGTTACTAATCAACCAGTCTTTGCTCGTCCTATTATAACAAATGATATTAATAGTAATAATTTCCAGCTACTACTTCAAATTCGAAATCCATTACTTCGCAGGAGAGAAAGAAAAAAAAAAGCCTAATTGACATAATTTTGTCGTCTCCCTTTATGATATTATCATTTATAGAAATAAAAAATACTGTAGTCTATTCACAACCGAATGATACAGAAGTTTTAAGTCAACTTCATAATGTGATTCGTTTCCTTAAGGTATATATATCCCTATTTTAATTTATTTAATTTATTTCTAATATTTCTAATATATATTTAATTAAAAATCTTTTAAATAGAAAAAAGTGGATGTTTCGAACATTCCAATATATGGTGTTATAGTAAGTAACAATATGATGATGATTAAGTTTTAACATTAATATAATATGTTTTGTTATATCCGGAATGTGCTATTAGATCAAAAGAAGGCTTTTTAAATCATTTGAAGAAAGACAAGAAAAGGCTAATGTTTTGCGTGGAATGCCATACAAAGAAATTGATTATTGATTTAACAAATGCTATAATGGTTGGTTTTCATTTGAGGATTATTTATTTACAATTATCATTCATTAATTAATTATTAATTATATTTGCATATTAATTTAATTAATAAATATTATTTATTTGTTTATTTATTTATCTATTTTATTTAGGAGTTAGAAAGTGAAAGAAAGATTATGGTCATACGTTTAATGAAAGATACAATGCTCTTATGGATAAAGGTAAAAATTGCTAATTATTACTAGTAATTAAATTAATGATTACTGGTAATGCTGATATTAGAATTTGTCGGGTTAAAGTTCCAAATGAAAGTGATTTAAGAAATCACTTGAAGATGGTAAATACTAATAATAATTATTTTGTTATTTGTTGCTAATAAATAATTCTCTCTATCTTTTTTATCGTAGTTGGGTTGCAATCGGTGTCTGTTCTTGAAAACAAAGTTACACCTGAGTTAAGTAATAATAATAATTATTATTATTATTAAAATTAATTGCACATTAATTACACAAATTTATTCATTATTATAGGACAAATCTAAACAAAGGAAAAGAAAATAAACAAATAGAAAAATAAAAATTACAGATACTCATTTGAAAAACTTTCATATGCTGACAAAGTCATAAATTATTATTATATAGCTAATAAAGATTACGAAGAATAATAACAATAATAATAATTGGGAATAATAATAACGAAAATTGGGAATAATATTAATAATTGGGAATAAAAATAATGACAATAATATTAATAATAATAAATAGAGAGGGAGAGTTACGTTATAATAATCTTTCTTTGGAAGAGATCCATGTCATTTTATGGATATGAGGCATGCTCAATAAATTACAGAAGTTAAAATTTAGATAGTTTAAATTTTTTTAGTTAATTCTAATCCGTGAACCCTCTGCCTACGTATCTGATCTACAAATGCAGCCCTCGAGGGAATCAGCATTCATAGAAGGAAATTTTATAAGTGTTATTAACAGATGGGACCGGAGTATATATAGAGGGTGCATTTATAGAGTTTTTTTTTAATTTCAAAATTTTTTTTTAATATAAAGAGTTTAATTTTAAATTTATTAATATCTGATATAATATAAAGTAAATATAATAATTGAAGTTTTTATTAGTATATTGGGACCAAGTGGAAAATTATCATTGTACGATTGAATTTTTGCTATATTTTTAAATATACATATATTTAAAATTGTCTTACATACAGACAAACCACATTCTCTTAAATTTATATTTTTTTTACTTTTATTTTTATTTTATTTTCACTTTTATATATTAATAATAATAAAAAAAAATATTAAAGTTCAAGCGAAGAATTAGTAGAATTAGTTTCGAATAGATTATTCAAACATCAATCATATAATATCCAATAATAAATAATCAAATATACAATATTCATTTAATTAAATATCAATCAAATTAATCAGATCAAATGTAAAAGTTTTTATTATGAAAAATGAAAAGTATGTGCGATAAATAAATAAATATGAAAATAATTTATTATCCAAAAAAATGTCTATGTTTTTATGATTTTTAACCAATTAATTTTTCATTATATACTAGATTTTTTTCTTTTGTTTTTATTTTTTCATTACATACTAGATTTTTTTCTTTTTGTTTTTATTATTATAACTATTATAATAGGAAATGGTAAACCATTGTAGTCTGGAGTAATATTTTAAAAATAAAAAAAATAAATTTTGATATTTTAAATATAAAAATATCAAAACGTAATTATTATTGTCATGTGTTCTTTATTGTCCGGACTTACCATTTCCCTAGTCTAAAACAATCGTTAACTAAAAAATCGGACAGACATCCTTTTCCAAAATTACATTTTAGATATTTTTATATTTAAAATATCAAAATCGTAATTTTTGCTTTACCTTACGCGTCCATTAAATGTCTAACATTACGCTCAAAACAAATTATTACGCTGTTTTTGTTTTTGTCGTTTTCCCATTTTCACGCTTTTCCCGTTTACTTTTACCACTTTTTCTATTATGGAGGAAGAAGATGATGATTCCAAATTTGTTTTGACTTAAACCCATTTGTGTGAGGAATATGACTAATACGTGATAACTTTATCTTTCTTTTTTTTGTTTGGAGAAATATTTTTAATTGATAATTTTTTTTTGTTTAATATCATCACCATCACCATTTTGAATTTTAATCAATTCAGAAGAAGAGGATGAAGGTGATGAAGATGAGGAAGGTGAGGGAGGTGAAGAGGGTGAGGAGGGTGAAGAAAATGACGATGATCCAAAGGATGATCACAAATCATTTTTGACTCTACTTTCCTTTCTTTTTTGACCCGTTTATCTTTGATTGATTTTTTGTCATTTTAAGTTGAAATATAGTAATTTTTCTGTTCTCCAAATATGTCTGTAAAGTATGATTTCGTCTCCTCGGAATAATGGTTTAAATTGTCCAAATTTATTTCTTAAATAAATAAACAAAATTAAACATAATTAAGTACACTTAAACAATTAAACATAATTAAACGTGATGAAGAATAATAAAAAGGTAAAAAGTATACCTTTTCTTCTTTATCCCTTAACATTAACATATCATTATTCTGATTCAAATAGATAATGTAAGACGATGAAAGGTAATCTGATATTAAATCTTCTTTATTATTATTATTTTTTTTTATTATCATTATCATTAACATGTTCATGATCACTCAATCGTTTGGGCAAATAAGCAATTGCTTCAACTATATCTTTCACATTATGAACTGTAATTGGAATGTAACTTCTTGAATCAAAGAAGTAGAAGTTACACTCTAAAAAAATTATAAAGAAATTAGTTGTTAATAATATATTCTTTCTTTAATAATAAAAATAAAATAATAATAATAATGATATATAATATCTTTTTAAGTATATACCTCCAAGTCTTTCATTATTACATGCAACGACAGAACTCGAATTTTTAGGGTCAACAGCTAAATGATGAACTTCAAGATTTTTGATTTGAAAACAAACAAATAAATATTTAAATTGATTATCAACAACGAAATAATATTTAATTTTTCAAATTACTTAATTACTTACTTGTACAAGTTAATAGATTAAATACAGATAAATGTCTTTCCGTTGTAGTCACCAAGAATGGTAAATCATTAGTGAAGGCAAGATGTTTCACAGTTCCATCATTCGGAATTAAAGGTAAACTATAATCAATAACATTTAAACGAGAATCCCATAATGTTATGATTGAACCATATGCGATGACGAATATTGATCCACCTTTTGAGTAAGTTGCCATACTAGGAGTTTCTAGTCGATAGGAGCCAACAAAGAAACATTCCCAATTTATTACTTTTTCTGGTAAAAACATTAAAATATTATAAATATTATTATTAACGATCATAAGACAAGAGAGAGGCAAAGACAATACAAGATAATTCACAAACCAAGTTCATAACGAAACCTCCACTTCCATCACATGTCTATCTGTATGGACATTATAAAATTGGAAGGTGCCGGGCATTCCATTAAGAACTATACAATGATTTCGTGGTATAATGATTTCGTGGTTCAACTACGAGACCAGTGATAAAGGATTTGTATTCGTATTTGATTACGCTATCAAATATTTATAACATTCACAGAATTCATAATAGAATTAAAATTTTTAATTACTAAAATGTAATTACTAATATCTAATTACTAATATTAATTATTCTATTTAATTAATACACACCATATTTTAATCCTTTAGTATTGATTGTCTAATTTCAAGATTTATTACGGAATATATTTTAATTGAATTATCAACCCACAGCATATAAGGTTTGATCAAGACTTATCGAAATGGTACAAATTTCGGACCAAGATGCAGAAGGAATGACATATTTTTTGTTTCAAATTGCCGCTTCCCCCCCCCCCCCAGAAAGAAGATACGTACCTATATATATATTTAATTATATATATTATATATTTATATACATTGTTTATGTGATATGTAACGAAAATGTTAATTAAAGAAAAAAATAATAATAAAAGAAATATAAAAAAATAGGTATAAAAACATTTTATTTTACCATCACTTGTAAAAATGGTATAATTTACTTTATGAGCATACCAATGAACAGATGAGGTAACGGGATTTTCAATCTGTAATTCGTTAAGGCAATACCTAAATAATAATAATAACACAATAATGATTCTGATATTTTTTTTTTGTTGACACGAAAACAGATCTGTTATCATTTGCCAATAAGTAATTTTTCCTTTATAATCTCGATAGCCATACATATTTCGTGGGATGAATTGCAATACAACTGATTCTTGATCCGTGCTTGTATCTAAATGATTAAAATTTTTGAAGAAATTTTTTTTTAGTGAACCATTTCTTCAGCAGACACTTTAATAATAATTATAATAATAATTTACTTGGGCCATTTCAATCTGATTGAAATTTGAATTGATTTCGACTTGATCACCTGAATTGTTTGAATAAAAGTAATAACTAAACCAGTCTTGCATTTCTAAGTGAAAAAAAATTTAATTTAGTAACTTATTTAATAATTTCTTCAATATATTAGAATTAACAAATGACATATTACTGACCTTTTTATTTTTTGGTTTCATGTTACCACGGAAAATTGATTAAGACAAGAAATTAGAACTATCATTTTATAAATTGGAACACCTAAATCATATACCTAAAGTTATTTAAGATATTTTAATATTTTTAATAAAGTTAATTCAAAAAATTGATGTAAAGACAATAGCTAGCAAAAGCAAAAAAAAAAATTTTTTTAAATACAAATTTACCTCCAATAAATTTGAATTAATGTAAATTCATTTTCTAACCATACCAGAATATAACCAACAATTTTTAAAATTCCAATTCCAATTATTAAATTTTATTTTTTGAATTTTTATACTTGTGAAGAATTATTAGGATCCATCATAATGCAAGTAATCCCATTTTATGACCATTCCTTTCTGTAGCATCCGAAATATTCTTGACAACATCACCCTTCAATACGCTATTAACGGTTTTTGAACAAGCACAGAATATCTAAAGAAAGAATATACATAAAAGAAAAAAATCAAATTCACTACAAATAATTTAATTAAATGATTTAGATAGATAATTTGAATTTTTGATTTAAAATATTAATAATCAAAAATTTTCAAATCCAAAAAGGTGCCACTTTGAAAAAACTCCCAACATCAAGTATCTATTTGGTGCCGAAGTTCAAAAAAGGAATGGTATTGTAATACATATTTCCTTTTATGAACATGTTTTGTAAATCTGCTTTTCTCTAAATACAATTATATATTATTTTGATATAGGATTAATAATAACAAAGTTTAATATTATAAAAACGTAAAGCTCAAAATCGAGCAGCTCAACGCGCATTTCGAGAACGATGAGTCAAAGAACTTGAAACCAAAATTACCGAACTTGAATCTTTATCAGTAAAAAGTGCACAAGAAAATTTGCAACTAAAATCACTTGTTGAACAATTACAAACAGAAAATTTTATGTTGAAACAAACATCATTTTCATTCGAATTCTCTCTAAAAAAACCGAAAAAATCACGGCTCTTGTTGATAAGATCTGATGTCATCATCTTTTTTTTTTAACTTCAATATTTATTGTCATCAATTCATGAAAATATACTTGATCCTTATACTCCAGGATACAAGTGATGAAGAACCAACCAAAATCATAATTACATTTTATTATTTATTATATCCTTTATAGTTCTTATCATAGGATTTAATAATAATTTGAGACTGAATTATTATTATTTACAATGATCATTATTATTATTCTTTTTTAAATAATAGAAAACTTTATTTTATATTATTTTTTTTTCACACGACACAGTTCATATTATTCATTTTTAGTGACAATTGAAATTACAGGTAGATACTTTTATTTTCCGTACGAACATGTTATCATTATTATTCTGATTATTTGATTTTTTTTTTTAATCTTTAAATATTTCAAATATTTTACTATTACTTGAAAAATATCTCCCTTTTTTGTACATAACTTTTTTTGCACATTAATCAATTTATAATAATAGGTTTTTTTTCAATTCTTAATTCTTATCATTTTTGAAATTCTTGACATTTATTCTGTTTCTATCTTATTTTTTGTTCTATTTGCATTCATTTTATTTTATAAAGAAAAAGGCTTATGGCGTGCTTTAAATTTGCCATACCCTATTTCCGATCAGGTAATGCTCCTTTTAGCCAATTATAATTCGATTAATTTTTTTTTAAAATATATAATATATTTAAATTATTAATATTTTATTAAGTTGTTTTTTCTGGCCTCTGAGTAAAAAAATTTTTAATAAATAAAGTTTAGTTTAAGCGTAACTAGATTATCAACCTAGATCTAAAACCCATCAACCACCATACTACTTATTTTTTACTTCAGATGTAAAATAATGTTATTTTATTTTTTGTTTAATAAACAACAACTTCAACTAATAGTCATAAGTTCGTTATCTACATATTTTTATTAACATTGGTTTTTGTGCAACGGGTTAAGTTCAATTTTCGCAATCACAATAATAATATATTAAAAAAAATTTTTTTAATATAAATACGTATAAAAAATATAAATAAAATAATAATAATAATACATGACAAATTTTGATTGAAACAAAGATTTTTTAATCTTTTCACAGACTTTTTAATAACTGCTGAATCTTAAATAAAATTCATCTCTGATTTAAAGTAACGAACAATGATTGTTAAAATTTAAAGAAAAACGTGTAAAAATTAATTAACCAAATTCCCGTACCGTATAGTAATAGCAAATAGAAACGCATTTTTATTTTACTACTATATATTATCTAATAGATATTTTAAGGTTATGCATAAAATATTCAAAATTTTAATTTTTATTAATTATATTTCTGTAATTTAATTGGACCAGTAAGGTCTCAACTTTAATTATAAATCAATAAAGAAATACATGAAGAATAAAATCTGACTAAGTTTTTTAAACTATGGCCTAACCTAGCACTTTAGAAAGGTTACCCTATCTACTGGGAGGTTACAACTCCACCTACATCTAAACAAAAGAGGATATTTGAAAGTATATATATTTCTTATAGTAGTCTGACTAATATCTATCCCTATTTTTTGTAAGTATTTTTTATGTTCTATATATGTGTAATCTATAAATGGTCTTTTACCTTTACTTTTCTTTTCAGTTTCTCCTATACTATTCTGTTTTTCCCATTCTAGAAATTCTTTACATCTTTTTTTCCAGTTATTGTATAAAATATCTTTCCATTCCTTAAAGATGTCCATGATCATTTGCTTTCCTGTGTCAGCAGAGTTCATTTTGCTTCATATTATTTTGTACAAGGATTTAGAAATTAGACCTCTTATTGAATCATTGAATTTGAATCTATCCTGCAGTTGTGTGTCTAAAATTTGTTTGTTGTGGTTAATTTTCAAAAAATGTCTGTGTGTTATCTTTGTCATTAGATCTTCTAATCCCTTTTTTTCTTTCTCTTTTACATATATCTTTTTATTGTGGCCTGGAAAAGCAATTTTTAGACTTTTTCCTTTATCTAAACATATGAAAACACGTGTATTAGTTTCTTTTTAATTTCTACAAAAGGACATTCCAGTTTAATATAGATGTCAGGTTTCCTTGTATGTAGAGTTGTCATTGTAGGTAGTTCCTCATTTAACAATTTTAATGAGAAGGATCTTAATGCACTATCTCTTGTATCTGTTTTGGTAGATGTGATTTTTGAGCCATGCCATGATTGAATCAACCATTTCCATTTAGTTTCTTCAATAATTTTTTTATTTAACCATTTATTAATACAATGTTGCATAAACCATGATGTAATTGATTCAGTTTCTTCTTTCCTTTTTACAAATGACTTAATATTTGTATTGATACTTTCTCCTTTCCATTTAAAATAGTACTGTTGATCTCTAATATAATCTGGATAAATTATATGTCTGTAAATTAGTGGATAATAGCAGAAATATAATAATTTTAATTATTTATTCAAATTTTCATGCTTTTGTAAATTATATATCTGATGGTATTGTATACTTGAATTATTAAAAGAAAAGAGCATGATATATCAATTAATACATAAGAATTGGATATGAATTTGGAGAAATTCTCTACTCTCCAAGAAAGATCAGATCAAGATCTTATGTGAAACTTCTACTGAAGTAAATAACATTGGTTAGGTTGGACATCTATTATTAATAGTATTCAGGTTGTATCAAATAATTATAAAAGAAAAGTAAAAGAGGAATTTGTTTTGATTGGGTAATTATACATACATTAATAAATAATATTAACAAAATTGATTATTAGATTATAAGTGAACTAGATATGTAACATTTAATATATTGTCATAAATGTGCAGAGTATTTCAAACACTTTCACCTATCAGTCTCAGAGTTTGTCTCACACAAACTAATTTTTTAATATGCTCTATCTGCCAGTAGGTCAAG